TGTTTGTTAAATGTGGTGAATTTCATAGCATGATACAGATGTACTAATATTTTTAAAAAATATACTAGAAAAGAAAATCAACAACAGAAATTGGAGATGATTACGAAGCAAAACTAATGATCGATCTTGTTAAAAATGGGTTTAACGCGTATATTACCAAGACAAAAATCAAGAAAGATGGAAAACTGATATGTGTTGGAGATGGAGGAATTGATTTATTTGGAAGTTACATGAATATGCATTATATAATTCAAGCTAAATGTAGAACTGATGAAGAATCGTATATTCCTCCTAGTGAAATTACTAAATTCATAGCAGTTTTGATGCAACAACCTGAAAATACAGTAGGATTTTTTGTATCTAATGCAAAATATTCAACAAGATCTCAGAATCTTGCGAATCATTCAAGAGTAAAATTGATATTATGTAATGATGATAATTTAATAGATAAAATCAAAGAAGTGCAGAGATTACATCTTGATTCAGATCGTGATATTATTAGTATTGAAGATATAACAACTGAAGAAAATACAAAAACAGAAATATTTGGTATAAAATTTGAAGGAAAGATTAGGATAGAAAAAATCAGAAAGATTAGAAATTCACCATATTGATATTGTATTTTTATTTGTTCAGTGTGATACACCGAACAAATTTTTATCTAGGTAATAAATATGTTTAGTCCAAAGACCACGAAACAGATCAATAAACTTGAAGTATCGTTAAAAAAGATACTTGAAAATTTAAAAAAAGAAAAAGAATATATTTTTGATAGAAAAGATGAAACTGAATCAGAAAGAATTATTATTGATCAGGAAATTGATGAAACATTGCAGATTGTAAGATATGAACTTCAACCAGAAATTGAAAAGAGGATTGAACAAGAAACTTTAAAACGGTTAAAGAGAAGGTATCCAGATCAGATTCAAAAGATTAATAAGAGATCAAAAGTTGAACCAAAGGTTATTATTTTAACAGGTGGAATTGGAGTTGGAAAGACAACATTTGGTGAAAAATTTGCAGAATATCTAGAAAATAAAGGATTCAAAGTATACAGACCAGTCGAGACATCGTTGAAAATAAAACCAGAATTAGATTTATTTTATAAAGATGTCAAGAATCGTGCTTTGTTTTTTCAACATGTAATCTTACAAACTTACAAGAAAGAAGTAGAAAAGATAAATCAATTAATAGGTTACGATTATGTGATCTTTGATCGTACACATATCGATACAGAAGTATTTACTCATCTTAACATCGAAGAGCAAGATGCTTTAGATTATTTAGAAGAAAAAAGATCAAAAATCGATCTCAAGAATATTCATAAAGTCCTTTATATTAAACCAAAAATTGAGAATATGTTGAAACGACAAGAGATAAGAAATAGAAAAGGAGAGACTACAGATATCAAGTATTTAACCAAGTTATATCAGGAATATAATTCTAGAATTACAAACATGTATCCTGAACATATCAAGTTTGAGAATGATTGTTCTAATGAAGAGGATCATAAACCAGCTGAATGTTGTTTCAAAGAATATGAATCAATGTTTGAAAAATTAATATCATAACATTATTTTTTTAATATTTTTTTTGTATACATACCTGTTCAGTAATTATTTACCGAACAGAAAATTAATTACGTAAAAAAATGTCTTTATCTGAACAATCATCAAGTGAACTATCATCTAATGAGTTATTTTCAGATGAATATGAAAAAATAGAATCAGAATTATATGATCAGTTACAGGATCATTTCTATGAAGGAAGTATTGATAATGAAACTATAATTAATACAGTTCTTGATTTTATAAAATCAAATCCTACTAAATATAGATTTGATATTAATTGGTGGTCTGTGATTAATGATTTGAAACCTCAATATGAATTGGAAGTGAAAGATGAGGTTTATCGTCGAACAAATATGAGAAATCCTGATGTAAAGAATAAAGAAAATTTTAAGTTGATCGAAGAAGAAGTTCATGATGCTATGTTAGATTATTCATCTATACTTGAATATTACTATACTGATGAGGATTTAAGGAAATATGAAGAATCTGATAATTTCAAATATATTGTTAATCGTGAAACTATGCGACTATATAGAGATTCTGAACGTCAACGAAAAATTTTACAAGATATAAAAATTGAATAAATATTGTTTTTTTTTAATTTTAATTTATTTATATTATTATTTAATAAAATATTAATTGTTTAGTGATTTATCACCAAGCAATTTTTTAACTACATAAAAATCATGAGCAACACTTGTTATGATATTTGGCTTAAGATTTTTTCTTATCTGACTCCAAAAGAGCAAACGAAATTCAGAAGAACAAATAGTTTATTATATGAAGTATATCTATTTTATGATATAAAAGAAGAAAAACATGGGTTTTACGAGTTTGTTTATGATTGGAGAGTATTAATCTATAAATTTAAACTCACAAAAGATAGAAAAGATATATAGATAAAAAATGGAGACAAGATGGAAAAAAGAAGATTGATGCGAGACAAAGAAGGAAATTATTATTGTAAAGGTGTAAAAAATGTTTTTTTGTATCAATGTGAACTTGCTAAAGCTGAGGAATTACA